AAGAAGAACTCGCTTTTCTCCAAGGCCACTTTGAACCCTGCATCTTTCAGTGCATGCAAAACCCACTCAATGTGTTCCACGTGGTACTCGTGTGTCTTTGAAAAAACCAAAATATCATCCATGTACACAATCACGCAGAAATTGATCAGGGGCTGGGTTAGTCGGGTTTTGTTAACGAACTCAGCGAAGGCCATATTCATGGCCCGCTGAAACRTTGCAGGGGCGTTACAAATTCCCATGGGACACCGGACCCATTGCCACGTGCCCTCAAACAGGACAAAGGCGGTTTTGGGTCGGTCCTCCGGTCGGACTGCGACGTGGTGAAAACCGTGTCGGATATCGAACTTGGAAAAGACTCGAGCGGCCTCGATAGCATCTAACAAATCATCGATTCGCGGCAAGGGATACACATCTTTGGTAGTGATGGCGTTCAATTTTCGGTAGTCAATACATAACCGAACCGAGCCATTTCGTTTTGGCACGAGGACCACGGGAAAAGACCATGGTCCCAGCGATGGTTYGACCCACCCCAACCGCTCGAATTCCCRTACCCTYTCCAAYGCSARCTGCCTTTCTTTAAGGGAATATCGGTACGGTCGGCAATGTATYGGGGCGTGATCCCCGGTGTCAATCGCGTGTTGTATMAAAGGGGTTAGCCCTATGTCGTGGTCCTGAATGTTGACGGCCTCAGGATAGGCCTGTAYAACCGCCWAGAGGAGRCGTTTGTATTCGTCCGGMACACGGGCYGGTAACTGAACTTCTACGGTTCCCCYAGGAAAGGAGACCGTCGTYRTAACYGTGRGGACCGCCGCGTTGGCATYTGGCRAGGCCCCAAACAAAGAGTYGTCGGTTTTCGCCRAAAGGACCGTCGCAATAAGTTGGYTGTCCGCCRGACTCATCGGCTCGCTTTCCATGTCACTRTCACTGTCCAGTTCGGGTTCGKCCGAGGGTTCGACYGAAAAGGCMTKCGCCAGTTCCCTCAGTCCCCACCGATACTCCCTCGTTCGGGGTTGAAACGACACCCCCTCTTTCAGGAGTATCGCGGCTTTTTCATTCGTGAGTAGGGKTCGTGGAGGTCGAAAAGATAAATCGCACAGCCCCCTCAGCTCGGTAAATCTTTCAGGTAGGGGGTCCGTCCGGAGATACAAGGACACAGGGGGTTCCGAAAGGTCAGCTATTCGGGACACCCTCAGGAGGGGTTTCCCCTACACCACGGAGGAGAATGTGTGCGACCAATTGGACTCGCTCCGAACTATTTCCAGTGGTTCTCGTCACCAAGAATGGCGCCACCGATCCTGTACTCGGATCGGATATCGGTCGGGTGCATCAATCTTGTCAATTTCCGTCGAGGGTTCATTTTCGTCTGGTGACAGGCGTCGGATCATGTTGATTTGATGGGCCTTAGTGGTGAGGCGAGACGCCGGCTGAGTGCGCACGTGCACCGCCAGTCTCATTGGTATCGTTGGGGTTTCGGGTGGGCCGATGTGAGCACGACCTTACAGCTGTCAAAGTGCATTCGCGCTCCGACCGCTGCCTGCCACGGAATGCCTAGCAGAACATCATACGCCTGTACATCCAGCACGATCACGTCACACAAACAATGCACCCGCCCCACCCGTATGGGCACGTTCGTTATTCGCCCTTTACAATGAATACTATCTTCCGTAGCAGATATATACAGTTCATCCGGCCGAAGGGGCTCAACCTGTCCTTCCCTTCCCAACTGTTTCGTCAATCTCCAAGAAATGGCGACCGCCGATGATCCCGAGTCTAGGATGGCGGCCAAGGGGTTTCCCCAGACCTCACAGTCACACTCTACGCTTTTTCAGGTTATAGGATAGGCCCGGAGGAATACCTCGGGTTT